GTAAGCCGTGCACGAGGACAGCAGGAGCGCGCGGGATTATAATGTGGGCGCGAGCGAGCGGCGAAACTTTGACGCTTTTCTCCGCCAGGCTGTTGTTTGCTGCTGGGCATTAAGGGAGCGTTCTGTTCCTGAGCATCTCCATCATGTGGGGCTACTTCATTGTTCTTCCTCTCTCATCCGAGCTCTTGTTTGATACTAAATTCATGCTTGCTTTGATAACAGGAGTGTGTGATTGAATTACGCGTATTGTTGCGTTCAGATATGCTGGATGCAGAGCAGGACGCGTTTTATGTATGTATGTATTTATTTAATTATTAGTGTAAAGTTGGACTTCTTGTTTTATGGGACTCGCTGTAAAAGCACCTGTCAAAGAGGTGCGTGCGTGCACAATCTGTCCAACAATTGAACAACAGCGCGAGGACGCCTCGGAGTGTGTGAAGCTGCAGCTTATCCCTCTGTGGTGCAGTGTCAGAAATGAGCTTTTTATCAGGAGGAATAATTGCCCACTTGAATCTTTAGGTTTTTTAAGAAGTCACATATTGTGTTTATGTCCAACAGTACTGTTCAAACACAGTATAGCAGTATAAGTGCCATTTTTTAATGCATGCACAATTAATCAAGCAGTTTTGTAGTAAAATAAAATACTTAACAAAATGCTATCTTGGTTTCTCAAAGATAAGTGATCTTAAAAAGATAATTAAAGATATATTTCTTCTGTGAAGAACTCTTAGGGCCCTACACTCTCAGATATAAAGGTACGCGAGTTGTCACTGGGGTGGAACCTTTACAAAAGGTACACATTTTTACCTAAAAGTTCAATATTAATAGCTCAAATTGGCACCTAAAAAGTACAAAAGTGTTCCTCTTAAAATTTGTAGGTACTAATATATTCTTCTAAGTTACCAATATGGACCCTTCAAGTACAAATGTGTACCTTTCGAGAAGGTACCACCCTAGTGACAGCTCTCTTACACTGAAAATAAATATTCAAAGATGATTCCTTGGATTTACAAAATTTTTTTTTAATGTTACGTGGTTGTAAACAATTTATTTGGGCTGAATTTAAACCAACAAATTAAGTTGAACATTATTGAATTTAATTAATTTGTTTAAATTCAACGCAAATAAATAGTTTGCAATAGTTCTGCATGCAACACTATTTTCAGTGTACTTTTATCTCTGAGAGTGTATCATACACCCGGCACAGTACCGTGCAAGATGCGTTTGGCGTGATTTGTTGCTATTTTCAGACCAGTGCAACCTTAATTTTTTACATTTTGCGTCACTTTGTTTAAAAAGCGAATCCATTTGCAGCACTTTGGGTGTGCTGGTCTAAAAAGGAGGTGTGTTAAGGCGCATTGTTGACGCGTTGCTATTTTGATGAACTGCAATAGACAAAAGTCTAAAGTCCAGCGCAGAGTGCGTTAGTTATGCACCTACACTCTCAGAAATAAAGGTACACGAGCTGTCACTGGGGTGGTACCTTTTCAAAAGGTGTTACGTTTTACCTAAAAGGTCTATATTAATACCTCAAGGGTACATATTAGTACCTAAAAAGTACAAAAGCATTCCTCTTAAAGTTTTTAGGCACCTATATATACTTTTGAGGTACCAATATGGACCCTTTAAGTACAAATGTGTACCTTTTAAAAAAGTCCCACCCCAGTGACAGCTTGTGTACCTTTATTTCTGAGAGTGTATGTGGGTTCAAAACGCTTACACATTGCTTAATACACACAGGATGTACAGCAATACACAAATATCTTTACAGATAAAAACAATTAAAGAATTAAAATAATACAAAAATTATTATTTTATACATAAATATAAAAACCACTGGCTCCATGCCTCATCTCGGAGGGTTTTTTTCAGTTTATTCATGACAATCTGTATTTGTATAATGTTATTATTATTCATTCATTCATTCTTTTTCTTGTCGGCTTAGTCCCTTTATTAGTCCGGGGTCGCCACAGCGGAATGAACCGCCAACTTATCCAGCACATTTATACGCAGCGGATGCCCTTCCAGCCGCAACCCATCTCTTGAAAACATCCACACACACATTCACACACACACTCATACACTACGGACAATTTAGCATACCCAGTTCACCTGTACCGCATGTCTTTGGACTGTGGGGGAAACTGGAGCACCCGGAGGAAACCCACGCAAACACAGGGAGAACATGCAAACTCCACACAGAAATGTCAACTGAGCCGAGGATCGAACCAGCGACCCAGCGACCTTCTTGCTGTGAGGTGACAGCACTACCTACTGCGCCACTGCATCACCATGTTATTATTATTAGCAGTATTATTAATTATATGCATATTTATATTTGTTTTAATATAAACAAGTTTAGATTTGTCCACCTGTGGGGTTTTAGAGACGTCTGCATCACCATATGGGGCATAAGAACAGGATGTGTGTGTGGATATAGCATACTTCATTATTATTGTTCATTTATTCGTTTGCTGAAAATTTAAACTGAATTTTGAAATAGTTTTGAAACAGATCTTTGCGCTTAACAAACAAAATAAAATATGTCGGCTAATGAATGTCTTCAGTGGAGTGTGTACAACACCGTTTCCTTATCTACGAAAGTAAAGGAGTAAAGAGTAAAAGTAAAGTAAAGAGAAAGTAAAGAGGCTGAATGGAGGAGGCTCGTTCTTTATTCTCGTGCTGCAGATGCGCCGTTTAACTGTTTTCTAGCTAGTGAAGAGTCCAGTTTATCCACTTACAAAGTCCGTCATGTAAATAACAAATGCGCCATGACACGACGCAACTGACTCTGATAGGGAAAGGGAGATGAGACTGATTAGTTTAATGCACGTTATGCTCAAAACACACCCAAACCTCATTAGGAGTATACGCACAACCCTGTTAGACCATGCACCGGAGCGCAGACTGTATTTTACCTACCCTAAAGTAGCAAAATGGAACGCGTCCTTGATGAATTTGTGCCATGCGCTTTAAACTTTGCGCCTACATATTAAAATGGAGCCCTCAAAGTTTTAATAGCATTGCACTCTATAAAAAAAACACTGGGTTGTCATAACTCAATCTTGAGTTTGTTCATATTTGTGCCAACATTGAGTTATAACAACCCATCGTTTTCTAGAGTGCAATGCTATTAAAATAAATTGGTATTGATGGTTCCATGAAGAGCAAAAATAAATTTAAATTCAATTTAAATAAAGCCGGGGTCACCAAACTTGTTCCTGGAGGGCCGGTGTCCTGCGGATTTTAGCTCCAATCCTAATCAAACACACCTGAACATGCTAATCAAGGTCTTGCTTGAAGCACCCAGGCAGTGGTGTTGAGGCAAGTTGGAGATAAACCCTGCAGGGACAACAGTTCTCCAGGACCGAGATTGCTGACCCCTGAAATAAAGCATTTTAACCCAACAGTTGGGTTATCAAATATTTGATCCAACAAATTGGTTTATGACAACCCTAATTTTTTTAGAGTGTAGGAGTACTGAGAAACAATCAGAATTGGATGGCAGAGAAATTGTCTCTGGTCCAGTAGCTAGATTATTATTATTATTATTATTATTATTATTATTATTATTATTATTATTATTATTATTATTATAAAGTAGTATTTTATTATTATAATATATTTTTAATATTATTATTTTTTATTAATATTATGATAATGATTATTTAAATTATTATATTATTATTTTTTATTGTCTATTATTATTATTATTATTATTATTATTATTATTTTATTATCTATTATTATTAATATTATTTAAACTTTTATTATTATTATAATTGTTATTATTATTTTATTATTATTATTATTATTATTATTATTAGTAGTAATATTTATTATTATTATTATTATTATTATTATTATTATTATTTGATGCTAAAAAGCAGTTAAAAATTGGAGTTCAGTGACATAAACGTCTATGGCATTTTTTTTGTCAATTTCCCTGTCATCTTGGCCCCGAGCCCTGGTTAATTTCTGACTCTGCTGTCGATTATTATTATTATTATTATTATTATTATTTAAATTTTTTTATTATTATTATGATAATAAAGTAGTATTTTATTATTATATATTTTTAATATTATTATTTTTATTATTATTATGATAATGATTATTATTACTTAAATTATATTATTATTATTTTATTTTTTATTATTATTTCTATTGCTGTTATTATTTATTATTATTATTATTGTTATTATTATTATTATTATTATTATTATTATTATTTTATTATTATTAAAATTATTATCATTTTTATTAGTGGTAATGTTATTTAATAATAATAATAATAATAATTATTATTATTATTATTATTATTATCATCATTATTATTTGTTGTTAAATAGCATTTAAAAAGGGCAGTTCAGTGACATAAACATCTATGGCATTTTTAGTCAATTTCCCTGTCATCTTGGCCACGAGCCCTGGTTAATTTCTGACCCTGCTGTCGATGAGAAAGAGGCGGAGGATGAAGATGATGATGATGGCTTACAAAGAAATGCACAGGAAATGAAGGAAAAAGAGAAGTGAGAGCGGTCCATTAAATTATAGAGGGAAGGACGTATCTGTGTGTGGGAGCCAAAGAATGAAAGGTCGGCTACAAGCGAAAGCTCACATGTGATTTGTCATCTAACTGCAGTTCGCGATTCGCTCTGTGTGTGTGTGTGTGGAGGTGAGACACATCCCACTGCTCCTGACGGCATGTGCCTCTTTGCCCATGTCGTGCTGCTGGCAGAGCTTTCCCAATGGTTTATGTAACATTGGCTGGTGCTTGCTTTTCCTGTGCTGGTGTCTGTTCTTGCACTTTTCCGATTTCTCGTTGTCTTCGGATCGACTCCCACCTTGCATGCTCTTCCAAAACACTACTATGACCTCACTCCCCACCTCACAGACCCGCGGTGTCCAATGATTGAGCGAGAGTCAGAAGGTACAAAGAGAGAGAGAGAGAGAAATTAGCGCAGTGCCTGCTTTTGTGTGGGCTGAGATGGAAATGG